AGGGAAAGAAGAGAAAATAAAGACTGAATAATCTGAAATTCATATTGATTTGATGTGATACAAATACAAAGCACTAACCAATATTTACAATAATATTGGACTCCTAATTCTAATTAAAAAAGGAAACAAAACATGAAATATGGAAACCACTAAGAGTAAGAGATCATTTACAATGCTCTAAAATACCATGAAGGTATTATGAGATATTTTTTACATATTCTAAAACTCTTCCCCAAACTAAAATTTATTAAGATTCCAACTTGTTAATGATGAATATTTAACTGCCACAGGAAGGTGGCAAATACCAAACAGGGGCAAGGAGGCCTGATTTAACTAGAGACAGCTGCAGAAGATAATCAGATGTAGTGGTGGCCCAAAAAGGGGGAAGTACACACGAACACATACGAGAAAGGCTGAACATGTAGAATCTGGCAACTTTGACAGCGTGTCCCTGCTCTGGAAGCAGCAAGACTCTGGTGACTGGACAAGTTAGTTGGACTGGAGATGAGCACAGATTTAAGACAGAAGCTGTGAAAGGAGATAGACAAAAGGCAGAAAGAACATGATTTAGGATGTTGGAATTTGTGAACGACTGCATGGCCAACTAGAAAGAAAAAAATAAGAATCATGAAGATGACGACATCATCACAATAAATTTCTAGGTTTTAATTTTCATGGAACCTGGCAGCAAAATTGCAATGGGAAAAGTCAAGAAGTATGGTACTACTTCAATACCATGTTGAAACTTTAGGTAGGGAAGGATGAAAAGCTAGATTTGAAATTGATATTGACTTGATGTAATAAAAAAGACAAAGCATTAGCCCCTATTTATTATAAGACTCCTGGTTTTACTTAAATAAGCAAGAGAAATATAATAAAAAGTGGAAACCAATCCTAAGAAATCATTTACAACATTCTAAAATATCTTGAAATAAAACAATGACATTGTGAGATATTTTCTAGATATTCCAACATCACCAAAGCATGTTCCGAAATAGGATGCATGCTAAACAATAAATCTGAGCTTGAAGGATGATAACTCTTTCTCGATTGGAGAGAACATATACATGAAGAAAAGAATTGCTTTATATAATATAACAACCACTTTGCCTTTGGTGTCCTTTAGGGTCCAAACTCCCTATTACAAATCACTATCGCATAAAAGAATGAAGAAAGAAAAACAGTACAAAAATTAAAACGATCTGAAGCAGATTAAAGCCATTCACATTGCAACAAAGGTCATCAGGTTGAGGTTGAGCTGTAACTTAAAAGCAGCAATAAAAAATTATTAATTTATCAAAAAAGCTCACTGTCAATTTAGGGTATACACATATAAGTAAATAACATTAAGTTCCTTCACACGGTTCTATTTCCTGTTTTGCTTGCACTACACAAAAGTTGCAGTGCAAACATGGAAAACATGACTACATTTACTAACTTTGCAATTACCAAATCAATAAAAGCTAAACCAAACTACAGAAATATATAAAGAAAAATTAAACTCCAATACTAAACCAACACCCACACACTGACCTCATTTGTTGAATTTACCACAGCATCCACCTCAAGGTTCCAGGGGTTCCCCCTCCACAAGTATATCTTCGAATTAACTTCATGGTCAACAGGAAACCTCGACACTGAACCACCGCCACCGCCCTCCAATCCCAACTTGAACGTCAAAGGGTCAGGGAAGTATGAACTAGAAAATGATGAGTCTCCATTGTCATTCCCTAGGGAATGCTCAGCATCAATCCACCTTGGAACTTGATCCAAAGTCACCACAGAGTCCCCACTATCATTTGGCAATCCGCCACGGGGCGTGGCTGAATCTGAAGAGGCCACAGGCCTATACATTTCAGGAAATCTTATCAACAGCACCAATCCCTTTGTTGAGGCTCCAAATAACCTTTCCAAGTCCCACAATCACTACAATAGCACATCAACAAACCAAAATTCACACCTCAGCTATGCAATCACCACAACCTCAACAATAAGAACTCTCTATCTCTCTCGTTTCAAACCAAAAACAACTACACGAGATTCCAAAACAAATTTCAAGGGTAACCCATTTCTTCAACTATCATTTGTGCCACACAGGAAGAAAATGCAATAAATAAATAAAAAAGACATAAATGGAATCTCAATTCTCAAGTTAATATGAACAGGAAAACCTAATCAGATAATTAGATAATTTCCCCTTCGAACAGAAAGTTGAAATTCTGACATATATGAAAAGGGAAAACGTCAATTTGATGGGAAAAAAACGTTAATTACCTGAAACTGAAATCTGGGTGTCGAAAAGGAACACTTTTTTTCGCTTCTTCCTCGTTAAAGTTTGCCTTTTTGGGATCAAATGAGCAAAAAAAAAAAAAAAAAATACAAACGCTGTTATGGCTGGTTCCACGAGATGCTGCGCTTGCAAAAGTTTAAGTTTTAATTTTTAATTTTTAATTTTTGATTTTTAACGACAAAAGAAAATGATAATGTTTGTTATTTTATTTGTTTGTCTTTTAGCGGCTCGTATATCAATGAGCTTATGCTCAGAATATCTGATTGCGGTGTCAATGATTAAGCAACACCGGAATGGCTCAATACTAATTAATTAATAATACCCTAAGATTTTGATTGCATCGTTATTTACAGAAAATTATCATTTATGTTTACTGTTTATTTATACACATATTACTCTACTAATATTTTAACACCTAATATAAAATATTTATTATATATAACTAAAATTTAAAATTTAAAATTAATTATATATATTAATAATTATCATGTTTGAATATATGTTATATAATAATATTTTTATTTATTCATAATTTTTTTAAAATATTAAAATTTATTTTATAAATAATTAAATAAATAAAAATTAAATCTAATATATATATATATGGAATAGGCTAAAAAAGTTATATAATTATATTTTTTATATTACGTTATGTGTAAAACTGGAAATATTAAAGTATTTTTAGAATAATTGTTCTTTAATTTTTTAATTTTTTAATTTAAAAAATAAAGTTTGTTTGAAATCATAATTAAAATTATAATAAAAAAGAATATTTTTTTTTAACTAAATTCATAATTTAAATTCTAAATATTTTTATCTTTACTTTCTTAAAGTGAGCATTTTCAATATACATCAGTATTTTATGATCTATTTCGTTTTTTTTTCTTTCACCTTCTCACACAAAAGGCTTCTTGAAGAAGTTTATTTTATATATTGTAATAATTTGACAAATTATCACACTTTGTACAATATAACTATAATATATCATAAAACATAAATATAATATAGTCTGTGATTATCATCCAAGTAATCCCTGAATATTCATACAGCCTTATATATAAGGAATAAACACATAAATATTAGGTTGCAAAACATAAAAATTCGAAATTGTTAATCAAGTAACAACTAAAAACATGTTGTATCAGCTTAGCACTAGATCCTGCTTGCAATTTGGCCTAATCCTTCCTTGTTCGTGTATAATATGATTATTGCAAATCAAGAACATGGAAAAGTAAGGGTGAGCTAGTAACCAATGAAACAACATAATATAGAAGTAATAAGGCAACTATATAATAATTTTCACTCAACTCCACAACAACAGGTCAAAACTTAGCTTAGCAACACAAATCAACATATCAATTTATCAACATAATAACTCTCAACCTAACAAAATAATTTATCAACATAATATATAAACAACACAACAACGTTATGTGTCATCACAATTTCAACTAAGAGATCTTTTACAACACAAGTGAACAATTTAAGTAGTTTGACCTTATTGAATCATAATGTCTCATTCCTAAAATGGAGATAAAGTTAGTAACGTCTGGCATACCAATGCCAAGTCAAACACAACAAGTGACATACCAATGCCTATTCAACAAGTGGCATATCAAGTGCTATTCACTTTATGAGCTCAAATAAAGATTGCACTTGGGAGATGTAGTTAGATCACTTAAGTGAGTGAGTACTTGCTCTTAACGAGAGAAATTCCTTATAATGACCAAGTGAGCTTTCCAAGCGAGCTAAATCAGAGACCGCTCCTGAAATGATTGTACCAAGTCGCTTGAGCAAGCCCCTTGGGCACTCTTAGTAAGCAAACACAATAGATACAACCTAATTAAGAACATACATCTTCAAACATGAATAACTCAAATTTCCATCTTAAATTCACCAAATCCTTCTTCAATCCAACATGTAACTATCAACATATATACAAAATAAGCAACTCAGATTCATCAAGGATTTCAACATGCAACACTCAATACATCTCAACACCAATCATTCCTTTTCCAATCATCAAGAAACACCAAAAATATAACTCTTAGGGTTCTATCCTTCAATTTCAACATAGATCATGATTTAAGCATGAGTTTAACACAACAATTCAACATATTCCTCTTAAAAGATTAAACAACAAGCTTCTTTTACCTCAAATGTTCAAAAAACAAGGGAAAGAAAGAAGAACAACGAAGAACATGACTCCTCGAGCTCTCGTCACACAACAACTCAACTTATGATTCTTTGCTCTTAAGCTTTGGATCTCAATTCCACTACTACAATCACTCCGAAGAAGGATTAGAGCACTTCTAAGAAGTCAGGAGGAAGAAAGGTCTGTTTTGCCTCTATAGTCTCTTTCATTAGATGATCTAGAGTGTATGAGAAATAAACATATGAAATTCAAGTTTTCAAAGAAAAAAATTGATCAACTTTGACCTTAAGACAAAATAACCCCAAACAACTAAATTCGTAAGAATTCCTTAATTTTTATAATTTTAAAATATTAAAAGAAATACATCAACATAAATCATTTATCGAATAAAAAGTAAATAAACAATGATTCACAACACAATGTTACAAATGTAATTTTTCCTTTCTTATTTTTTTCTTACTTATTCTCTTACTTTTTTGTTCTCAATCTCTCCATCCATTTTGTTTTCATCTTTACTTCCATGTTTATCTTATGTTCACATTTTGGTCATGTATTTTATTCATGACTTCATTGCTACATAGTGTAAAAAATATACTTTTTATTTATTTATTTGGTGAATGAGTTTAAGATATTGTTTGTCTTCTCAATTTTTTTTATGGACTTTAGTGGTTCTTTGTTTTTGGGTTTCTGTTTGGGTGTTTTATGGATTGATTGATTTAACAAATAAAAAAGACTTCCTTCTACGCTTTTCCCTAATCGAAAAACATATTTCTCCATTTTGACTCCCTCTAATAATCATTTAACTATATAACAATCAAACCAAAAAAACATGATAAAGCTAATCCTTTTAACTTTAATAAAGTATTTACTTTGACAGTTAAATATGTTCACTATAAAATTTGGGTGTTTTATGGATTGATTGATTTAATAAAAAAAATTCTTCTACTTTTTTCCCTCGACAAAAAACATATTTCTCCATCTTGACTTCATCTAATAATTATCTAACTATGTAATAACATTGTTGATCAAATAAAAAAAATGTGTGATAAAATTAATCTTTTTAAACTTTGATAAAGTATGTGTTTGTTTTGATATTTAAATATATTAACTACAAAATGAGTGATTATTGACTAATTAAAAGATAGTTAAATTTTAAACATGTTAGTTACAAAAATAATCATCAGAATAATTATAAAATTTGTAAATCATTTTCGTTAAAAGATAATTCTATTATGATTTTTTTTAATTTATCAAATTATCTAAAATTTAAAATTTAATTATGTTAGTTACTAAACAATCGTTAGAAAAATTACAAGATTTATAAATTCTTGTCACCAAAAGATAATTCTATTATAAGAAAATTAAGTCCCTAAACTAAATTCTAAAGCCTAAACTTTAAAACCCTGTACCCGTAAATCTTAAACCCTAAATTTGAACCCTCAAAAATAAAATATTGTTTAACTTTATCAAATTATCTAAAAATTTATAATTAAAAATTGTAAATATGTCGGTTTCAATAAAAAATCACTAAGATAATTATAAGATTTGTAAACTCAATTTACTAGAACACAATTTTGTTATAAGAAAATAAGACAACTATTCTGAAAAAAAAAAAAAAGATAATTCTTAGTGGACATGCCATCAATTTAGTTATAAATTAGCTATCCACAATATAGAAAGGAAAGAAAAGACGTTTACGAGAATATTGTTACGAGAGCATACGGTAAGAGATAGTTTTTCTTTCACACGTATTAAAGTTGTGGTATTTTAGTCATGTAAGTCTACAAATGGTGATCAACCCAAATAAAAACAAAACACATAAGGAGTGAGAATATATCTCATTTATGTACAATATATATAAAACATAAGGATATTTATACATACATACATCATAATTATATTTATAGATTTACATTAATCCTCATCCACACGTCGGGGATGTGGAGAAAAGATAAACATTAGAAGAGGGTTAAATAGTGTATATTAAAAACTCGCACATTTTCTACAGTGAAGTAGTAACCATAGTCAGATGAAGCAAAAAGAATAGACATATGAAACACTGAATACTTTTATACTTGTTTGCTTCAACCACTGAAATTATGTTCATTTAATAATCTAAGTAGATTGAGTTTCATTATCTTTAAACAAAGATACAAGTATTCTTTTAACAAGCCACTTTTGGCTCAACCCTAAATATTTTTGGACTTGACTTTTCAAGTAACTACCCAAGTATTCTTTTAACAAGTCTCTTCATGCTTAACAATCAAGTATTCTTTTATAAACAAGTCTCTCTAGACTCAAAATAAGTATTCTTTTATAGACAAACCTCTACATGCTCAACCTTATAACAATGGTTATAAAGGTTATTCAAATGTTGTGTTCGTCTCACTTAAATGTCATACAACCAATTATAGAGCAATGAATGTATATAGGAAATAATAGATTTTGAGAGAGTGTTTTTGTACATATGTATATGTGTCAATTACAATTGGTGTCTCTCTTTTTTTTATGCTTTGAATTTTATTATATAAAAGCTGGAAGAAGATGACTATTGCAATACTTTGAGTCCAACTCACAAGTTTGTTTCTTTTGTCTTCATTGTCTTTCCTTATGGTGATAGGTAACCATTTGACACATTTAATGTGAATATTAATGTATTTCACCAAATAATACCTCTTATCTGATCAAGGAAGCTACTTATCAACTTTCCATACCAAACGAAACTTGTAGAAGCGATGTCAGCGTAAAGTAATTATAGTAGTGACTTTATCTATTTTTCTCCATGATTTTAGGGATTTGGTTTTAGTGAAAAGCATGGTCCTTCTCTTTAACAAATTTATGAGTTTTAAGATGGTCTTTTGGTTTGATCTATTAAGAAACGAAACATTCAAAACAAACTTTGTCATTGGTCTCAATAAATGATAAATATTTAATGTATATGAGACAAACTGTATACTTCGTCTAATTAACAATCATCTTACAAATGATCTACA